TTAACTGACTTGACTGACTGAAATACTAACTTTACTGACTTAACTGACTGACTTGACTGCCGTACTGACTTGACTGCCTTACTCACTTGATTAACTGACTTGAGTGACTGACTGACTTACTGACTGAAGTGACTGACTTGACTGAGTGACTGACTTACTGAATATTATAATGGGAAGTGCTAAACTCGCAGGATTATACAGTGCCTGTGAGGGGGAGGGGATGGAAGGTATTCAGGCTTAAGGAACTAGAGCACAGATACAATTCCCTAGGTCAAGAGCCCCTCACCAGCGTCAAGGAACCTCCCTTGAAGGAAAAGCTCACATCCAGTATTTTTGCTGTATCCAGAAACAAAAAATTGATCAAGCGACTGCTTGTATTCTGAAAAACTTGTATGGTGGGGCACTCGTAAGCCGAGGTTCCACTGTATGTGGAAATGGGGGGGGGGGGCAGTGTATTTGTTTGCTTATTTGTTTATATATTTGTTTTTGGTATGTGAAACAATATGTGTTTCTAGTGGATTTGTAAAACATTTAAAATTTTGCTGCCATTGCCATGCTAATTTTTTGTTTTTTATTAACACATCGGCTGATTCCCACCAAGGCAGGGTGGCCCGAAAAAGAAAAACTTTCATCACCATTCACTCCATCACTGTCTTGCCAGAGGGGTGCTTTACACTACAGTTATAAAACTGCAACATTAACACCCTTCCTTCAGAGTGCAGACACTGTACTTCCCATCTCCAGTACTCAAGTCCGGCCTGCCGGTTTCCCTGAATCCCTTCATAAATGTTACTTTGCTTACACTCCAACAGCACATCAAGTATTAAAAACCATTTGTCTTCATTCACTCCTATCAAATATGCTCATGCATGCTTCCTGGAAGTCCAAGCCCCTTGCGCACAAAACCTCCTTTACCCCCTCCCTCCAACCCTTCCTAGGCCAACCCCTACCCCGCCTTCCCTCCACTACAGATTTATACACTCTTGAAGTCATTCTGTTTCGTTCCATTCTCTCTTCCATGTCCGAACCACCTCAACAACCCCTCCTCAGCCCTCTGGATAATAGTTTTCGTAATCCCACACCTCCTAATTTCCAAACTACGAATTCTCTGCATTATGTTCACATCACACATTACCCTCAGGCATAACATCTCCACTGCCTCCAGCCTCCTCCTTCTTGCAATATTTATCACTCATGCTTCACACCCATACAAGAGTGTTGGTACAACTATACTCTCATACATTCCCTTCTTTGCTTCCATGGACAAAGTTCTTTGTCTCCACAGACTCCGAAGTGCACCACTCACCCTTTGCCCCTCATCAATTCTGTGATTCACCTCATCCTTCATAGACCCTTCTGCTGACACGTCCATTCCTAAGTATCTGAATACATTCACCTCCTCCATATTCTCTCCCTCCAATCTGATACCCAATCTTTTGCCCCCTAATCTTTTTGTTATCCTCATCACCTTACTCTTTCCTATATTCACTTTTAATTTTCTTCTTTTACATACCCTACCAAATTCATCCACCAGCCTCTGCAACTTCTCTTCAGAATCTCCCAAAAGCACAGTGTCATCAGCAAAGAGCAACTGAGACAACTCCCACTTTGTGTTTGATCCTTATCTTTTAACTCCACACCTCTTGCCAAGACCCTCACATTCACTTCTCTTAAAACCCCGTCTATAAATATATTGAATAACGAAGAAAGGGAAGCGGTAATTTCATGCACTGGCCAGGGAGGTATACCATCTTTTAGGAGTGAAGAAGAACAGGATGTGAGTGTGGGGGAGGTGCGTGAGGCATTGCGTAGAATGAAAGGGAAGTAAAGCAGCTGGAACTGACGGGATCATGACAGAAATGTTAAAAGCAGGGGGGGATATAGTGTTGGAGTGGTTGGTATTTTTGTTTAACCCTTAAATGGTCCAAACGTATATATACGTTTTTTCAACATCTGAAAGTATGTAAAGAAATGTAGATTTTTTTTTTGTTTTACATGTGAAAATGTGTAAAAAAAACTTTTATCTACATTTTTTTGGTTATATTTGAAAATATGTAAAAAAAAGTAGATCTACTTTTGTAGCACTGCGAATTTGAACGTCGATCTGTTTGGACCGTTTAAGGGTTAATAAATGTATGAAAGAGGGGAAGGTACCTAGGGATTGGCAGAGAGCATGTATAGTCTCTTTATATAAAGGGAAGGGGGACAAAAGAGATTGTAAAAATTATAGAGGAATAAGTTTACTGAGTATACCAGGAAAAGTGTACGGTAGGGTTATAATTGAAAGAATTAGAGGTAAGACAGTATGTAGGATTGTGGATGAGCAAGGAGGTTTCAGAATGGGTAGGGGATGTGTAGATCAAGTGTTTACATTGAAGCATATATGTGAACAGTAATTTAGATAAAGGTAGGGAAAGTTTTTATTGCCTTTATGGACTTAGAAAAGGCATATGATAGAGGTGAAGGGGAAGTGCAATGTGGCAGATGTTGCGAAGTTATATGGACTAAGGTATAAGTTACTAAAATGCTAGTATAGAGTATTTATGAGGAAAGTAGACTCAGGTAGTGTGTAGGGAGACTACTTCCCAGTAAAATTTGGTCTAAGACAGGGATGTGTATGTCCACCAAGGTTGTTAAATATAATTAAAGACGGGGTTGTAAAAGAAGTAAATGCTAGGTGTTCGGGAGAGGGGTGGGATAAATTATGGTGAATCAAATACAAATGGAATTGACACCGTTGCTTTTTGCTGATGGAACTGTGCTCATGGGAGATTCTAATGAAAAATTGCAAAGGTTAGTGGAATGAAGTTTGGATGTGTGTAAAGGTAGAAAGTTGAAAGTGCACATAGAATAGAGTAAGGAGATGAGGGTATCAAATGATTAGCTAAGAAAAATTGGATATCAATTGGGGAGGAGGAGTATTAAGAAGTGACTGTTTTCAAGTACTTGGAGTTGAACGTGTCGGTGGATGGATTTATGAAGGATGAGGTTAAACATAGAATTAATGAGGGAAAAAAGGTGAGTGGTGTATTGAGGTATATGTGGAGACAAAAAATTTGTCTATGGAGGCAAAGAAGGGAATGTATGAAAGTAGTACAACACACATTATATGGGTGTGAAGCTTGGGTTGTGAATGCAGCAGCGAGGAGGAGGTTGAGGCATTGGAGATGTCCTGTCTAAGAGCAATATGTAGTTAATAAAAGTATTAGTCAGAGGGCTGAAGAGGGGTTGTTGAGGTGGCTTGGTGATATAAAGAGAATATATCAATGTAGAATGACATGGAGAGCGTATAAATCTGCAGGGGAAGGAAGGCGGGGTAGGGGTTGTCCTCGAAAAGGTTGGAGGGAGGGGGTAAAGGAGGTTTTGTGGGCAAGGGGCTTGGATTTCCAGCAAGCATGCATGAGCGTGTTTGATAGGAGTGAATGGAGACGAATGATACTTGGGAACTGACGATCTGTTGGAGTGTGAGCAGGGTAATATTTATATAGCCGGACTTGAGTCCTGGAAATGGGAAGTACGTACAATGCTTGCACTCTAAAGGAGGAGTTCGGGATATTAGCAGTTTGGAGGGATATGTTGTGTATCTTTATAGGTATATGCTTCTAAGCTGTTGTGTTCCGAGCACCTCTGCGAAAACAGTGATTATGTGTGAGTGAGGTGAAAGTGTTGAATGATGATGAAAGTATTTTCTTTTTGGGGATTTTCTTTCTTTTTTGGGTCACCCTGCCTTGGTGGGAGACGGCCGACTTGTTAAAAAAAAAAAAAAAAAACCATGTTGACATCACACATCCTTGTCCAAGGCCTACTTTTACTGGGAAATAATCTCCCATGCTAATGTGTGTGTGCTAATTTAACAAAATCCACAGCAGGCCTATGCTTAGTCTTTGATAGCCATCAAACAAAATTGGGTATTGATTGAGCGAATTGGTAAGAAAGTGTGGAAAAGCTGTGAGGATGGATGGTATTGTGACTTGAGATACTTAAAACGGAGAATGAGTTTCTGTATGGGTATTGGAGGAGTTTGTTTAGAGTACAGATGCTCCTAGCTTTACGATAGTTTGACTTACGATATTTCAACTTTACCATGTTGTGATAGTGATGCACATTCTGTGCTGAACAGTACTGTTCATTTATTGATTGGATAAACTTGTATTCATTTATTTACTTTTCAGTACTGATATTTAGTTAATTACAACAATTATTTGTTTATTTACCTATTCAGTGACAGTAGTTATTTACTTATTTATCATCTCATATTCATGTTTGACTTATGATGGGTTCTTCGATATGTAACCTCATCGTAAGTTCAAGGAGCACCTGTATTCAATTTTAGTATGGAAGAAAGGATGGTGCACAATGATTGGCGAGGAATACTTATGCTTCCTTTCTTAAAAATAAAGAAACCTGGACAAGAATTAAAAGAATTGTAAGCATGCACTTCAATCCCTTATTGTGCTAAGATGTTGCTGTTTATTACTTGTCATTTATTTGTGTATAATCTTCAATTTATGGATGGGGAAAATTTAATTTTTTAACTAATAAAATGCACTCTCTCTCATACATATTTTGATTTATAATATTCATACTTTTATGCAGTTGTGAAGGCTGAGATGAGAATGTAAGAAGAGAGAATGATGAATGGTTTGAAAAACCGACAAGTTGAAGATTGAGACACTTATGCAGCATATGGGAATCTTTATTCAGGAAACGTTTCGCCACACAGTGTGGCGAAACGTTTCCTGAATAAAGATTCCCATATGCTGCATAAGTGTCTCAATCTTCAAGAGAGAATGAGGGTAAAAAAAATGATGGAAAGAATGACAAGAGAGGGAGGGATGGGAGAAGAGAAAATGTGGAAAGGGAAGGGGGTGAGTGAGAGAAGTTTATTTTAATATTTATTTCATGGGATCATTTGAGATGTGTGGAGATAGGAGAATAGGAATACCCTTCTCTGTTACATCAGTACATTTAAACCATATCTAGATAATGTTTTTTTACAGAAAACTTTTCCATGTGCGGTCTGTAACACAAGGAGATGTTATAAGAGCTGAGGCCAAAGATATTCCCAGAATATTTCAGGTAAGTTTATTCATTACTCTGCCCACTTGAGGCCACTTTGAATTTTTATTCTCACAACAAAATAGAAGATTTACTGTTATGCCGACTACTGCATTAGTGTAGAAATGGTATAAATAATATCAGTGCACTTGTGAAAGAATATTAGACTCACCAGTTGACGTGTATTGGACATGTTGCATGCTTTGTTTACTTTTGAACTTTGGTAAAACTCGAACATTTCTGCTACTTTGAGCTCAATTTCAAGGTACGTTTCATTGTAAAACTAGTCAAAATCATCTCAGTTTCTGTAATGTGTCTTCCTTTTTATAAAATGAGACCAGGAAAACTAGAATACAACAATAAATACCATACAAAAACTAGTAACGGGTGACAAATACAGTGCAAAGTCGCTGTTTTAATCCAAGAAATACGGTCAAATTTTTTTTTTCTGCGCAATATGCACTGTAGCCCAGGATTTTTTTATACTGTGCCACACTGACCACAATAGACCCATTCTTTCCATATGTAGGCCTACCACTTTCACTAATGTGAGGGCGCTAGAATTTAGCATACTCGTACACAAAAACCATGTGCGTAAGGCCATACTAGTACGTCCGAAACCCTGAAAATGTTAAAAATTCAGGATTAAGAATGTGGGTCAAAGTTTGTGGATAAGAGGGTGAGTGCAGGAGGAAAAGAGGAGTGATGGGGGAAGATAAAGTAAAGGGGTTGGGTAATAAAAGAGAAAAGTTATCTTATGAGAATTTTTAACAAAGCAGAAGTGTTATAAAATAGCAGAGTCTATGGAGAGTAAAAAGAAAAGGTGAAGAGAGTGGTGAGAGAGTGCAAAAGGAGAGCAGATGATAGAGTGGGAGAGGCACTGTCAGAAATTTTAATGAAATAAGAAAAATTCTTGGAGGTGTTAAACAAGCTAAGAAAGCCTAGGTAAACAATGGTTAATTTGTCAGATAAAAACAGAGTAGGGGAGTAGTAGATGGGGAGATGGAGATAGTATTGGGTAGATGGCGGGAATATTTTGAGGAACTTTTAAATGTCAACGAGAAAGGGAGGTGGTTAGTTTCATGCAATGGCCAGGGAGGTATACCATCTTTTAGGAATGAAGAAGAGCAGGAGTGATGTGGGGGAGGTGCGTGAGGCATTTACAAAGCAAAGAAAGGGTAAAACAACTGGAACACATGAATCATGACAGAAATGTTAAAGGCAGGGAGGATATAGTGGTTAGAGATGTTTGGAATTTTTTGTTTAATAATGTATGAAGAGGGGAAGTACCTAGGGATGGCAGAGAGCATGTATAGTTTCTTTATTAAAGAGGAAGGGGGACAAAAAGAATGTAAAATTATGAGGAATTAGTTAGCTGATAAATTACCGAAAAAGTGTTCGGTAGGGTTATTATTGAAAGAATTAGAGGTAAGACAGAATGTAGGATTGCGGAAGAGCAAGGAGGTTTTAGAGTGGGTAGGGAATGTGTAGATCAAGTGTTTACATTGAAGCATATATGTGAACAGTATTTAGATAAAGGTAGGGAAGTTTTCATTGCATTTATGGATTTAGAATAGAGGGGATATGGGAGCAATTGTAAGGTAGTAGGGTGGTAGACAGCAACCGCCCAGGGAGGTCCTACTGTCCTGCCAAGTGAGTGTAAAATGGAATCCTGTAATTGTTTTACATGATGGTAGGATTGCTGGTGTCTTTTTTCTGTCTCTTAAACATGCAAGATTTCAGGTACATCTTGCTACTTCTATTTACACTTAGATCACACTACACATACATGTACAAGCATATATATACACACTCCTCTGGATTTTCTTCTATTTCTTTCTAGTTCTTGCTTATTTCCTCTTATCTCCATGGGGAAATGGACCAGAATTCTTCCTCCATAAGATATGCCTGTTGTAAGACGCGACTAAAATGTCAGGGGCAAGGGCCTAGTAACCCCTTCTCCTGTATAAATTACTAAATTTAAAAAGAGAAACTTTCGGTTTTCTTGTTGGGCCACCCTGCCTTTGTGGGATACAGCCGGTTTGTTGGAAAAAAAAAATGGGAGCAATGTGGCAGATGTTGCAAGTACGTATATGGAATAAGTAGTAAGTTACTAAATGCTGTAAAGAGTTTTTATGAGGGTAATGAGGCTCAGGTTAGGGTGTGTAGAAGAGAGGGAGACTACTTCCCGGTAAAAGTAGGTCTTAGACAGGGATGTGTAATGTCACCTATGGTTGTATTAATATATTTATAGATGGGGATGTATAGAAGTAAATACTAGGGATCGGGTAATAGGGGTAAGATTTAAATTATGGGGAATCAAATTCAAAATGGATTTGACACAGTTACTTTTTCTGATGATAGGGGGATCTAAAGAAAAATTCACAGGTTAGTATAATTTTGGGAAGTGTGTAAAGTTAGAAAGTTGAAAGTGAACATAGAAAAGAGTAAGGTGATGAGGGTATCAAATGATTTAGATAAAGAAAAAATGGATATCAAATTGAAGAGGAGTATGGAAAAAGTGAATGTATTCAGATATTTGGGAGTTGATGTACAGCAATGAATTAAGAAGGATGAGTTAATCATAGAATTGATGAAGAAAAAATGGTGAGTGGTGCATTGAGGTTTATGTGGAGACAAAAGACATTTTCTATGGAGGCAGAGAAGGGAATGTATGAAAGTATAGTGGTACCAACACTTATATGGGTGTGAAGCTTGGGTTGTAAATGCAGCGAGGAGGCAATGTGTGATGTAAATATTATGCAGAAAATTAGGAGAAGTGTGGAGTTAATACCAGATTAGTCAGAGGCTGAAGAAGGGTGTGTTTGAGGTGTCTTGGACATTTAGAGTGAATGGATCAAATTAGAATGACATGGAGAGCATATACAGTGGACCCCCGATAGCAACTTTAATCGTGCAAGGGGCTCTTTGTTTATGCGAAAGGGTTTTGGGGTATGCCGATGAATTTTCCCCATAGAAAATGGAATCAAATTAATCGTGAAAAGGACCCCCAAAAGTATGAAAAAAAAATTTTACCACATGAATGTTAATTTTAATACACACAAACTGAAAAGGCTGCACATTACTGACATTTACTTTTATTGAGATTGGTGATGATATGGGGGGGAGGAGGGGTAGGGGAGAGTGTGTTGTTTAAGGGGGATCCCCTCATTAAGACTTGGGGTGCGAGTCCTTTTCTGGGTTACTTCCTTCTTCTTTTAATCCCACTAGGCCCAGATTCAGAGTCACTGGTTTTTTTCGCCACAACATATCTGTCCATAGTGGCTGTACCTCTCGTTCCTATAAACTTCCCTAAAGTGTTTCACAACATTGTCAGTGTACAGGTTGCAACACGGCTCAATAGTGTGTGAGGGTGATTTCATCCATGAAGGTTTGCCTTCAAGCACTTTGCACAGATTTCCCTTTAATTTTGTAGTAGAACTTCTTCAATTTCCTTCCCCTCTCTGAACCAGTTCCTGGGGTCGACCTTTGTGTTGAAGTTGATATATCAGTATCAGTGGTTAGTTCTTCATTGTCCTCCTCCACCAACTCTTCCACATCCTCCCACTAACCTCCAACCCCAAGGACTTTCCAATGCCACAATGGATTCCTCAATGGATAATCTCTCGGGTTAGCCTCAAACCCTTCAAAATCCTTTTGTCTACAATTCGGCCACAGTTTTCCAAGCAGAGTTCAGTCTTCTTAGCCCACTCCCTCCCAAGCCTTACTATAAGTTTACACAATGAGGATATTAAAGGGCTCTCTCCAAACTCTCTTAGAGTCAGTTGATTTTCTGAGTCATACAAAGCACCTTTTCAAACAGAGCTTTTGTGTACATTTTTTGAAGTTTGCAATCCCTGCAGGTCATGGGCTGCAGGAGAGGATTTGGAATTAGGAAGGCAAAAACTTCCCCTTTAAATGAATTTCATGTCCCATAAAGTCGCTTGCCCGTAGAAGGATGACCAGGGGCATTGTCTAACACCAGGAGGCACTTAAGTTCTAATTTTTTCATTAGGTAATCTTTCACATTGGGGGAAATGCATGGTGTAAAGTCATAGAAAAAGTCCCTGTGACCCATGCTTATGTTTGCCCTCCACAGCACACACAATTCTCCTTAAAGGGACATTCTTTTGCCTGAACAGTGGGAGTTTAGAGTTACATAATAAAGGCTTCACTTTGCAATCACAGTACTTGGAAACATTCAACAAGTAAGCCTGTCTTTCATAGGCTTGTCCTGGGGTGCTTTTCCCTCTCAGTAATGTAGGTTGCTTGGCATTTTTTTCCCAAAACAGGCCTGTTTCATCACAATTAAACACTTGTCGGGTTTTCAGTCCTTCACTGTCTATGTACTCCTTGAATTCCTGCACTATTTTTCGCTGCTTTGTGTCCGAATGGCAGCCTCACCATGCCTTTTTCACACTATGTATGCCACTAACGTTCTTTTAAATCTCTCAACCAACCTTTGCTGCCTTAAATTCCTAAAATTTCATCTAGTTGCAGGCATTTTTTTTTTAATAAACCTCATGCATTCCTAGCCTTTTCGCTTATGATCGCTTGAAAAAACGCTATCTCCTGCTAGCTGTTTTTTATTTATCCACACCAATAAGAGTCTCTTAAACATCTTCCATCACTTGCGATCTCTGTTTCGAAAACACAGTTAAACCTTTGGCAAAACAGCTTCCTTGATTGCCTTTCTGTTGCCCACAATATAGCGATGGTTTGATTTGGGTTTCTTGTACAACCTGGCCAGGTCGGCGACACGCACTCCGCTTTCATACTTATCAATGATCTCTTTCTTCATCTCTGTTGTAATTCTCACCCTTATTGCTGTAGGGTTGGCACTAGAAGCTTTCTTGGGGCCCATGGTCACTTATTTGGCAGATAAAATCACCAAAAACACTGTAAAAATATGAAATGTTCCGATTGTATGCTTGGGTGTTCCCCGGGGAGGGTGGGAAAAAATGCCCCCAAAGGGGACAGTGAGGGTGGGTAAGGGCCACATTGGTGCGTCCGGACAAGGG